TTGCCCTGTGGCTTCATTCTGAATTCCTGTTTTTGAAATAAACAATGTGGGTGTTGTATGGTGAGCCCAAAGCCTTCAGGTCACTTGCTAAAAAAAAAAAAAGCCAGGTCTGCAAACTCTGGGGACCTGGGGGGAGAGGGAGGGCAAAAGGGGAGATGAGATGAGGCTCAAAATGGGGGATGGTCGTTTAACAAAAACCAGGAAAATACGGGCCGCCGATTTGGGTGGAATGATACCATCCCTTCCTATCTGACCCACCTTGGAATTCTCAGTGACACCCCCATCCCCCCAGGTCATTCAAGACCCTCGTAAGCATCAACAGCACCCCAAGGTGCCTGCTCCTGTCACCCTGAGCCTCTGCGACCACACTCAGGGAGGACCAGGGAGCATGCCTTGCGCGGTCCAGGAGCCCCACTCGCCCAGCCCCCCTCATCACGTCTCAGAAAGTTAATTCTCCATGAGACACATGGGATGTGGCTCTGATTTTGCAATAGAGTGAGATGAAGTCAAAAGGGGGGGGAGGCGGAATTCCAGGCCCAGGTATCCACGCCATGCGTTATATTCCCTTTGTCCTCCCTCTGACCCCCAGCAGCCTGCACAACCCAGCAAACAAACAAAAAAAAAACCAACAAAAAAATTCCCAGGTTTGGAGAGGGGGGCTCAGCAAGCTGAGCCTGGGGCTCCCTCCTTCTTTCCGGAGATGGGGGGTCGCCCAGGTTGGAGGTGGTAAAACAGATCAGAGTGGGGACCCATGAGAACAGGTGGGGGAGGTACACCCAGGCCCCCCCTCACCCCCCGCCTCCTTCCCTAGGGCTGCCTGGCTGGGAACAGCTGTCACCAAAGGTCAAGGGCTCAGCATTGATTCGCCCCCAACTCCAGCGCCCAAGCCCCAGCGGCCTGGCTGTAGCAGAGCTGGAGGTCGGAGCCCACCCCCCCCAGACTCTGCGGGCTCGAAGGCCCCCACCCCCCATGGCTGCTCAGCATAGCGTGAAAATTGGGAGCCCGGGCATTTGTGGAGAGGCCCAGAAAAGGAGGAAAAAACACCGCTGTCAAGCGTTCTGAGTCCTTCCCGCAGAGCAGGCTGGCCACGTCATCACCTCGGTGCAGAGAGGGGCGGCCTCCAGCAGAAAGCTGGGCGTGTGTTTGCAGGGAAGAAAACCTCTCTCTCTCTCTCTCTCTCTCTCTCTTTTTCTTAGGGAACAGACAAAACAAAATCCCCGGTGGAATACCTAAGGGGGGCATTCATTGTTTGGCTCCTGCCTGACTGATGACAGTTGGATGTCAATATATAATATTGTGATGACAATTTGACTTTCACCCGGCAATATTCCAGGACTACTCTTCTCCAGGATTTCCATTTTAATAAGCAGTGAACAAAGAAAAAAAGAAAAAAAAATGAAGAAGAAAAAAAGAAAGGGGGAGAGGGGCAAAGTGGAGGTGCGGGGGGAGGAACGAGAATAAAAGAGAATTAAAAAAGAAAGCGACTCTTGTCTTATTACGGAATAACAATACGTGGACATACAGCAGCGTGGAAATAAAACAAAGGGAGGGGTCATCTAAAAACCGTACGCCAAGATGACAGGAGAACGGGAATCATCTAAGCAAGGAAAAGGCTTAAGCAAAAGTTTGCTAACTGCAGAAGGGTTAATTTAACACTGGTAACATACTGTGGCAGTTTCTCTTTTTTTAAAAAAAAAAAAAATGTGTGAGGTGGTTCTTTTTTTCCCTTTAAATTAACCCTTTCCGGTCCATATGCCACTACGCAGGTACCAATCTAGAAAATAATTCTTCGTTCACTCAGCAATAGTGGCCCTCTCCAATTATTAGAGGGGAGGGGTGGGGTGGGGTGAGGGTGGGGTTCAGGG